TTATTGTTGTCTTGTCAGATAATTATGTCGACTTGTCAGATTTTTAGGTCACCTGAGTCACTCAGGTGACCTATTGCTATCAGTTTACGTCCGTCGGCGTGCGTCGTGCGTTAACATTTGAACATTTTTAGCTTCTTCTCTGAAACCGCTTAACCAATTTCAACTAAATTTGGCATATAGCATCTATGGGTGAAGGGGATCAAAAATTGAGAATTTCATGGTCCCTGCGCCCCTGCGGCCTGAGGGGTGAGGCTAAAACCACCAAAATTAATGCGATCTTTAAAAATCTTCTTCTTTACTCCTGGACATCAAGCAGTCAAACTGTTGGCATGATTGTAATAAACATTTAGCCCTCTACCAAAATTTTGAAATTCTTGGGGTTCTGGTGCTAGGGCGGGGCTTTATAGATCATATAGTGAAAGTGTATTATTCCTTTGAAAATCTTCTTCTCTGCCCCTGGGTATTAGATAAAGTAGCTAAGTACAGAGTTATGATGAGCAAGAGTGCCTCTTCCAAAATTGGGAATTTCATGGCCTTAGTCAGGGATTCAGGTGTTAGGGAGGGGCTCTATTGACTATATAGTGAAAAAGCATTAATCCTTTGAAAATCTTTTTCTCTGCTCCTGGGTATTAAATAAACTAACTAAGAACATAGTTATGATAAGCATGGCTGCCTTTTCAGAAATTTTGAATTTCATGGCCCCTGGGTCAGGGGTTCAGGTGTTAGGGCGGGGCTCTATTGATTATATAGTAAAATTGCATTTATTCTTTGAAAATCTTCTCTGCTCCTGGATATTAAATAAACTAGGTACACAGATATGATGAGCATGGTTGCCTCTTCCAAAATTGTGAATTTCATGGCCCCTGGGTCAGGGGTTCTGGTGTTAGGGCAGGGCTCTATTGATTATATGGGGAAAATGCATAAATTCTTTCAAAATCTTCTCTGCTCCTGGGTATTATTCAAATAAAGGAAGTGCATGGTATGATAAGGAAGAATGCCTCTTCCAAAATTGTGAAATTCATTGCCCCTGGGTCAAGGGTTCTGGTAAAGAGGGGGGGGGGGTGACTCTATTGATTATATGGTGAAAATGCATGATTTCTTTCAAAATATTTTTTCTACTACTGGTTCTAAAGCAAAGAAACAAGTGTATAGTTATGATGAACAAGGGTGCTTCTTCCAGAATTGTGAGTTCATGGCCCCTGGGTCAGATGTTCTGGTGTAAGGGTGGGGCTTTATTTATTTAATAATATACTGGAAATGCATTTCTTTGAAAATCTTCTATGCTTCTGGGCATATTCGAGGCAAACAGAGTAAAAGTTTTAACATGCAAAGGTATTTTTACCAGAATATTGAACACCTGAACCATTTAGTCAAGTGTTCTGGACATGGCCAAGGCTCTCTTATCTTGTATTCTGCTAAGCAAAGTTATTCCCCTTTGCCATTCACCTTTGATAATTAATCACTGTAAACAATGTATTTGAAAGGTCAATAAAATACGAGAATTATGCAAGAATATTTATTGTATAATACTAAAAGTACTTTCATAGTTTTAATGATCAGGTAGACTTGGAAGTAATAGATGAATAAAAATGAGACAAAAATAACTTATCTTTTTAAATGTTCTTCAAAGGCCAAGAGAGGCCAATGTGAGAAGTACATGTAATAATATGGGATTAAAAAATAGACATTTTGTTAATAGTGTGCATGGTAATAGTGATAAATTGAGAACAGATAGATACTAGACCAATTATGTTGTTGATGCTAATCATACTATTTTTCTTGCTTTTGGGCAACAAAGCTTCATTTATCAGTTTATGGATCCTCTAAATTGTTGTATTGTACTCAGGTGACCGTAAAGGCCCTTCGGCCTCTTGTTTTGTGTACTTGTCACTTATTCACGAGTTCAAAAATTCAACATAAAAAATGTGTCCATGCCCAGATTAGGCCATCAGTTGACAACATATTTTTCTGACAAGTCAACATAAGTCTCTGAAAAGTCAACATAAAGATCTGACAAGTCAATATAAAGATCTGACAAGTCGATATATTATTGACAAGTCAACAAAATTTTCTGACAAGTCGACAACATAATATTCTATAAATCAATATCATTATCTGACAAGTCAACATAACATCTGACAAGCCGACCTGTCAGAAAATTATGTCGACTTGTCAGATAATGATGTCGACTTGTCAGAATATTATGTAGACTTATCAGATATTATATAGACTTGTCAGATATTATGATGAAAAGTAGATGTCAGTTAGTGGCCTTAACATGCTGTAATAACAAGATAAGCTGTCAAACTGTTAGCATGATTGTAATAAGCATTGAGTCCTCTACCTTAATGAAATTCATGGCCCCATGTTAGGAGTCTGGTGCTAGGGTTGGCTATGTTGAATTTAAACGTATAATGAAAATGCTTTTAAAATCTTCTCCTCTGCTCCTGGGTATTAAGCAAACAAACCAAATGCATATTTATGATAAGCAAAGGTGACTCTTCCAAATTTGTGAATTTTATTGCCCTTGGGCCAGGGGTTCTGGTGTAAGGGTGGGGCTCTATTGTTTTATAGTGAAAATGCATTAATTAATTCCGTGAAACTTCTATGCTTCTGGGTATTATGTCGATGTATGCCGATGATCTAAGTACATAGTTATAAAGAACAAGGGTGCTTCTTCCAGAATTGTGAATTTCAAGGGGTCAGAGGTACCTGGGGTTGGTTGGTTAATGATTAATGAATTAATGCTTTGAAATCTGCTCCTTGGTATTAATCAAACATTAATGATGAGCAAGGGTGCCTTTTCATAATTGTGAAATATGTGGCCCCTGCAGGGTCAGGGGTTCCTTTGGGGTGGGACACTACTTTTTATAATACAAATGCATTTTCTCTTTCTTCCTCTGCTCTGCCTCTGGGTATTACGTAATAAAACTAATATGGGATCCAGGGTGTTAGCCAGCCCCTAGAACTATGGACTCTTATAACTGTATTATACGGGATTTTTCCAATTTTGATCGGGCTAGCTAAATGGGTTACCGCTCTTGTAAACTCAATTCCTTTTGACAGTCAAGGGGTCCCTCCCAGACCCCTCCCCTGTAAAAAGATGAAGGTCAAAATATGGGATCCAGGGTGTTAGCCAGCCCCTAGAACTATGGACTCTTATAACTGTATTATACGGGATTTTTCCAATTTTGATCGGGCTAGCTAAATGGGTTACCGCTCTTGTAAACTCAATTCCTTTTGACAGTCAAGGGGTCCCTCCCAGACCCCTCCCCTGTAAAAAGATGAAGGTCAAAATATGGGATCCAGGGTGTTAGCCAGCCCCTAGAACTATGGACTCTTATAACTGTATTATACGGGATTTTTCCAATTTTGACCGGGCTAGCTAAATGGGTTACCGCTCTTGTAAACTCAATTCCTTTTGACAGTCAAGGGGTCCCTCCCAGACCCCTCCCCTGTAAAAAGATGAAGGTCAAAATATGGGATCCAGGGTGTTAGCCAGCCCCTAGAACTATGGACTCTTATAACTGTATTATACGGGATTTTTCCAATTTTGACCGGGCTAGCTAAATGGGTTCCCGCTCTTGTAAACTCAATTTCTTTTGACAGTCAAGGGGTCCCTCCCAGATCCCTCCCCTGTAAAAAGATGAAGGTCAAAATATGGGATCCAGGGTGTTAGCCAGCCCCTAGAACTATGGACTCTTATAACTGTATTATACGGGATTTTTCCAATTTTGACCGGGCTAGCTAAATGGGTTACCGCTCTTGTAAACTCAATTCCTTTTGACAGTCAAGGGGCCCCTCCCAGACCCTTCCCCTGTAAAACGATGAAGCTCAAAATATGGGATCCAGGGTGTTAGCCAGCCCCTAGAACTATGGACTCTTATAACTGTATTATACGGGATTTTTCCAATTTTGACCGGGCTAGCTAAATGGGTTACCGCTCTTGTAAACTCAATTCCTTTTGACAGTCAAGGGGTCCCTCCCAGACCCCTCCCCTGTAAAACGATGAAGGTCTAAATATGGGATCCAGGGTGTTAACCAGCTCCTGGTTCAAGGTTTACCTTTTCTATCCATTGTCATCATTTTGGTCAGGCTAGCTACATTGGTTTGGGGTCCTCATTCTTCCTTTTTAAGTGATGTCTTTGATTTGCTTCTTTAACATGTATTATAATGAGTTATTCAAGTTTTTCGAAAAAAAATTATTAGGACACTTACGGTAATTTGAATAGGGAACCGGTAGCAGCATCCGGTTCGCCATTCGAATAGTCAATAGGGAATAGGGAATAGCCTTCTAACTTCTGATTGCCAGCACAAGGTGATATTTCTTTTGAAAAAAATTTCTTTTTCATTTGACCAAATTAAAGGTCAAGGTCATGTATTGCAAAGACCAACGGTGGCTATTATATTGTTGACAGGATGCACAATCATCTTGTTACATGATTCCACTTAAAAACACATGATTAAACATGAACAATCGTTCATGCACATGATTTGACACATTGCAAGAACAATTAAGATTGATTATGCAAATGCAGGATTCTTCAAGCAAAATGGTTAAAACAATTTAAGAATACATGAAATGTAAATAGGGTAAGTATTTTTGAAAGATTTTTTTTTATACTCTTTTTAGACTAGATGTTTAACTATTAGAAAAGTTAAAAAAAAATGAAGTAAGCTTTGTTCACAATTACTAAAGTTATGATGATCCACTGTGGCATAATTCATCATATTAGATTAGAAAGTCATAGATCTTGAAATCTTGATTCTTTAAATGCTAAATATGCTGCAGTTATAAATTATAAATAAGATCCAGGGCATCTACACCATGAAAACAATTATCGTTATCATTATATTTTAAAAATATCAGTATACGTGTACCTCTCTGATGTATGGATATATAAAGAAAAACCATGACAAGGATTAAAGTAAACATAGCAAAAAGTCTGCATGAAGTTTCAACACCTTTTGTTTTCATATGTGGCTACCTTTTATTGTAGATGGATAGACAATTGCACCAAAGACAGCATGCTAGCTTGGATGTGTTCTTAAATAGTGCCAGGCAACAGTTAAAACTCTTGATGGAAAATGATACCATGTTACCTAGTGAAGGAGAGTGCGGGGAAGAAAAAAGTAACACAGAAGGAAAAGACTCCTCAAATGATACATGATGATTCAACTCACTGTCTGTATGTGAAATTAAACAGGCTTTTTCAAATATGAAGACTAAATGGATATTTAATTTGATTTGTTCATACTGTCAAATATAATCTATATGTTATTTGCTTATTAAGGGTGGTATTTTGAATAAGCAGCTTTTTTAAAAAATGTTACAGTACTTTGTATAGAAAAGTTTTTATTTTACTTTTTGGTAAATTTCAAATATCAAAATTTATATTTGAATTTAAGTTCAATCTGCATATATAAAAAAGGATGTTTTATCTGTAGATTCTTGAAAAGCTTATATAAAGAAACAGAGTAATTTTATTTTTAAAAATTTCACAGAAATATTATTAAATTACAGAATATTGTATAATTATTGACTTTTCAAGTACATGCAATAATTTTTTTTATTGCAGTAGTTGTTTTTTAGAAGACTTGAAATAGCTGCAATATACTCAACGCAAAGTGCAATATATATTGCTTTACAGTGATTCATTTCATCAGTTTGATGGTACATGTATTTATTAATAGTGATGCAAAACTTACTGTTGGTATTTACAGAGAAATTATTTAGCATATATTTTATAAAAATGATTCCACTATTCTACTCTGAAAAGGAACAGGTGGGAGAAAAAAAATTATGCTTTACAGAACATTGTACATACATATCAAGGGCTTCTAAAATATTTATGTAAGAATTAGCATGTAAGAAATACAAATATAGATAATGATTGTACAATCCTTACACAATACATGTTGGTTGTGAGTCATTTTCTCCAAAAAAAAAAAAAAAAAAATAGCATAGCCTGCAAGTGGTGAAAAGGTTGAAATCTCTTTTCATACAAAAAAATCATTTCTTAAATATACTTTGTAGTTCACTTCAGGCTCAAATTAGCTATTCTGATCAAAATTTGTTGTCTGTCACCATTGTTGTTGTCATCATCATAAACTCTTAGAATTTCATGTTTGTTCAAATCATGATCAAGGGGGGGGGGGGGGGGGGGGGGCACTAATCATGTGGATCAAAGTTTTACATGGATAAATATAGGGAAAATCTTTAAAAACCTTCTCAAGAACAGGAAAGCCATGATTAATCATATTTATATTGAAGTATCCTCAGATAGTGTAGATTCAAATTGGTCAAATCGTGGAAGCATCCAGAGGTAGTGTATATTCAAGTTTGTTCAAATCATGATCCCCAGGGTTAGGATGGGTCCACAATAGTTGATTTAAGTTTTACAAAGGAATACATAGAAAAAAATCTTTTTCCCAGGAACAGGAAATTCAGGATTAGCCATATTTATACCGAAGCATCCTCAGATAATGTAGATTCAAGTTTGTTAATTCAAAACAAGATCCCCACCCTAACCCTTTCATAGGTGATCAAAGTTATATATATTATACATGTAGGAAAAAAGAATCTGCTGATGAAGAACAAGAAGTGCCATAGTTGCTCAGGTGAGCATTGTGGCCCATGGGCCTCTTGTTTATTTATTGAAACATATCAAAGTTTGAAATTTTCCACATGTATGTATTAGAAGAAAAGGGAGGAATGTATGTTTGGCTTTATTGAAGTTTATTCACATGTACAAATAAATGAAAATAAAGTAGGATACTCTCATCACAAAGTTTTTTTGAGTGTTATTGAGAATTTTTTCTGCATATGGTTAAATCCATGGGTATATAATTATCAAAAATCAATCACTTGTATGCATGATTGTTTATTATTTTATCATGAGTTGTTAATAAAAATGTATTTGCAAATAAGATCATAATAACAAGCAAATGTTTAGTTTATGGTTTCTTAGGTTTTTCATGGTCGCGGTATCTCTGACTCATGACCAATTACTGGTACCACTTGCATGGTGGCAGACAAGAGGTAGTCTCATTAACTTTTCCCATCATTATTTTTTTTTATCATTTAGTGTAAGCCATTTTAAACTTCTAGTGCAAAAAGTTATCATTAGTACGTGTAAACGTTTTATCATTAGTGGGTATGATGGCAAATCATTAATTAGAGAGCACAAATCCATTCACTAATGCAACATTTTTATCATAAGTGGATTTTTTATAATCCCACCCTGCTTTCACTGAAAGTGTGGGATATTAATTTGGGTCTATCTGTCCAGTTGTCTGTCTTTTTGTCATTCTGTCTGTGTGTAACACTTTGTTTCGATCCTGATGAAGAAGCCTTTGAGCATTTGCAATGAAGATTTATACCACAACTCCCTATGGCCTAAAGAAGACCCCTATCGATTTTGAGGTCAGAGGTCAAGCTCATAATTTCATACATTCTGTTTGTAACGCTTTCGTTTCCTGATGATATCTTAAAATGTCTTTGAGCTTCAATTGCAATGAAATTGTGTATCACATCTCTTTATGGTCAAGAGAAGACCCCTTTTGATTTTAAGGTCAAGATCATAAATTCATACATTTTCTAGATGATAACTTAGTTTTCTTTAAGCTTTTTTGATAAGATTTAATATCACAACTCCCAGTGACCTAAAGTAGAACCATATCGATTTTGAGATCAAAAGATCAGAGGACAAGGTCATTAATTCATACATTCTATTTGTATGTAACACTTTTTTCCAAACTACAATGTATATATCTTAAAAAGCGTACAGGATCTTTGCAATGAAATTTTATAGTTAAAAGCGAAAGTAAAAGAAAATGGCTGGAATGAATGCACAAAACCGAAGTTTACTACAAAATAAAATGAATAATGCATTGGAAATAAAGAAAAAGAGAGTTCAACAGCATGAAGAAATATACGTATACAAGATAAGTTGTTTATAAATAAAGTGTCAATGTGTTTTAAGTAAGAAATTTGAGGTGGAACGGAAGAAGATAACAGAATGGAAAAAATACACCGCCAGCCACGGGTAACATAAGCTTTCGAAATGATCTTTTAATGGATTTTATTGGGGACTTTAATTACATTGTCCACCGGTCACAGGAGTCTAGTGGTAGGCGTTCGCTTTGTGATCGGGAGGCCCGGGTTTGATTCTCGATCGCCGCGCCGCGTCAAACCTAAGACGTAACCCTAGGTAGGCACTGTTTTTCCGCCGTATATCAAGATATTTACTTCACACATAAAAAATCGGACAAGAACCTGTATTTTCCATCTTATAGTTCATATCTAATTGAAATTATCAAGGCAGAGTGATTTATTCGTAATTTTTTCGTAGTATGTTAACCAGAAAGTAGGTTATGATGACCGAATTTTAGAACTTCCCACTTTTATCTTTATATTTAGGACAATAAGAGGCTTAGAATCACAAAACTTTGTCAGTTGATGCATCTTAGGTCCTAAGTATTTTGACCAAAGTAGGTCACGGTCACCTATTTTGGAATTCCATGGCTGTATTTAAATAATTCAAAAACTAAATGACTAAGAATCATCAAATTTTGTCAGTTGATGCATCTTGTGTCCTCGGAATGTGTCAACTAAACAGTAGATCACGGTAACCTACTATTGGAATTTTAAGGGAATATCTAAATATTTCAAATAATGAGAGCCTTAGAATCTTCAAACCTTGTCAGTTGTTGCATCTTGGGATCTCAGAGAATATTAACTCAAAAGTAGGTCACAGTGACCTACTTTTAGAATTTCACAGCCATATTTAGATATTTCTAATAATAAGAGGCCTAGCATCATTAAATTTTTGATTTGATGAATCTTAGGCCCTTGGAGTACTTCAACCAAAAATTAGATAACTTTGACCTGTTGTTTTGGAATTTCACAATTTTATCTGTATATTTAGGATAATAAGAGGCTTAAAATCTTCAAATTTTGTCAGTTGATGCATCATTAGCTCAACAGACTGTGTCAACTAAAACGTAGGCGTACTTTTGGAATTTCATGACTATATCTGAATATTTAAGAAACAAGGGGATTAGAATCATCAAACTTTGTCATTTGATGCATTTTCGGTTTTCAGAATGTTACCAAAATGCAGGTCCAGTTGACCTACTTTTGGAATTTCAAAGCTTTATCTAAATACATGTGATACTAAGAGAAGAACGATTCTAGGCCTTTGGGCCTCTTGTTACATTATCATTACAGATATTCTAAATTTAAACTTGATTCTATTTAATAATGCCACATGGTGGTAGCATTTACTTGTAAGTTCCTCAAACATTTCTTGCTTGAGAGAAGCTTCAATGTTCTAAATGTTACAACTGAGAAAAAAATATCATAAGTAAACGTTTTGTCATTGTTGGGGTTATGATGGCACATCATTAATTAGAGAACAAAATTCTATTCACTAATGTAGACTTTTATCAGCGGATTTTTTTTTTACTCTTTAATGGTTGGATATTGTTTTGAATCTATCGGTTGGTCGGTAGACCATGTGTTGTACGCTCAATTTATTGTGAAGAACCCAAATGCTTGACTGAAATCAAATTTTTTTCCTTCAGGAGTAGATTAACTCTATTGATTTTGAGGTCACAGTCAAGTGTCATATGAACATATAAAGATATTGACCGCCCAGTATCTCAAGACACTTTGCACAACAGACACCAAACTTTGTATACTGGTTTCTCTTAAGTAAAATATGACCCCTGCTAATTTTGAGTGACTGGATCAAAGTTCAAGGTCAAACTGGACATAAAAAGATATTGACCCCTCATTATCTTGAGACTAATTTGTTTGACAGACGTCAGACTTGATATACTGGTACCCCCTAAGAAGTAAATTACCCCAAAGGTTATCAAGATCAAACTTCGAATAATATTTACGTCTGCTAGGTTTTCAGTATAATTACAGGCATTTTACATTTAAATTTGCCCCTCTAAAATATTACTACATTAGGGGAGGAGGGCATATAAATGTATAAAATATGAAGATAACGAAAAGTAATCTAGATCAAAAGTCCTTTGAAACAATGCAAATTGTGAGCAGAGCAAACACGGACCTCTCACATCAGAAGTGGGATCAAATGACATAGAGGAGTGAGCATCCCCTGCTGACCGGTCATACCGGCTATGTGCTCCTTGTCATGCTCGGATAAACGGTAAAATCTATCGATTATTCAGTAAGAAAATTATACCCTAACAATTTGCATGAAAGCATCATTCAACATTCGACTTAACCGTAGATTGTGTTTGCTAACAATGTCAGCAATGCTTCTAAAGTGTTTCTTGTTTGATAGGATCTTCAATGTTCTGAATGTTACATTTTCAATTTTAACATTGAAAG